ATATTTTCACTGTTGTTGACATGTATAGACTTCTTCAGAAGATTTTGAATCTTTTTGTCTTCCAGTTTTCATTAGAAAAAGCACTTATAAACACTTCGGTTATTAGCCACTTGAAAAGTTCCTGCAATTAGTAGTGGTGGTAAGAATTACATGAAAAGAGAAATTTCTGACCTCTCTTCTTTCGTCAGGCTTTTATGAACAGTTTTCAAAAGCCTATTGAGAGGATTTGCTTTATTTGTGTAATGGCTTGACTTCTTCAAATGTGGCAATATTCTGGCACAGATACACGCTTTTTTTTTTTTTTTTTAAAGTGAGAAACATAGCTCCCTTTCTTGAACAAACACATATGATATTTTACATTGAGTGAAAGATATCATTATAAATGCTGAAGTGTGACAGACAGATGAGAGCACATTTTACATTTCACACAGAAGAAGAGAGCAAAGAGGTTTTGTTTTTTTTCTTTTAATGTCAGCATTTCTGCTTTGTAAGGGGAATTCCAAATTCCTGCTCTTTTCTTAGCAAAAGAGAACAGCAATGAAATGGTCTGCACTGAAATTGCTTGCCACCCCCCTGCCCTTGTCTGTTGTATATTTGGTAGAAATACAGCAGTTTAATGTTTCAATTTAAGAATTATGACTGGGAAATTTGTCCTTGTTCAGTATGTTTTGTGGGGGAGATTTTTTTAGTAAGTTAAGGAGATGTGTTAGTGAGATTAGGTAAATACCCAGCATTGCCTTGATTAATATTTGCCTTGATTAATGGTTAGATTCATACCATAATTATTCTGAAAATGTTTGGAATAAAGACACCGCACAGCCTTAGAACTTATAAATCAGTTACTGTTGATTTACAGACAACTGATCCATAGTGTAATATAATGGAGCTTAATTCACACATCAAATGAGAACGACGTTTAGTTGCATGGGATAGCTTCATTCTAAAGTCCATAAAATGTAGCAACAATTTGATATTTCTCAAATCTATAATGAATCAAGTATTCCTTATTGCACTATGAACTTTCGACACCCTCATGTTTACCGCCAGTCCTTCAGTGACTAAGCTGTACAGGGCTATTCTTATGGGGATTTTGTTTAGTTTTGGTTTCTCTTTGGCTACTTTATATGATTCTGTCCATTTCTGTAATTTCCTGTAAATGGTTTTTTTTTTTTTTTCCTTTGAAGCTCATGTGTTAGAACCTGAAGTTCTCACGTATTTTAGTGAGCTGTAGTTTAAAGAAGCATCAGATAATTTGCTTGTGGATTTCAACAGCTTAATCTGAAAGCCACGCAACAGACCTCTTGTTTTCAGCCCTCCTACCACCTACAGAAACAAACACCGTTTTGTAAAAAAATAAAATAAAATAAAAATAAATTAGCTGTTATTTAAGAGTCAATTACTTTTGCTCCACAGGTTTGTGCAATTTTATGTACAGAGTTGATTAATTTGTTTCAAATTGATTACTTCTAAATGTGTTCTAAATCTAGGCCTGCCTTCTTCAGCAGATCCCTATATCTAGACATTGTTCAGAACAGGGAGAGATGCGTGAGTGTCTTTTTTTGGCTGTTTTCTTTTTGTGGGTGAATTTCTATGATTTTATTCTTACTGTTGGGGGGAGGGCTGTGAGTGATTTGCTTTTTCTCCAGACTTCTTTCATTTCTATCATCATTTGAAGTTATTTTTGTTGCCTTTATCTATTAGTTTTTAAATAATTTTTTTGCCTTCCTTCCCCGCAGTATCTTGCCTGCATCAACATAAATGCAGCTCTGTTTCGTTATGACCTACTCCCGAGTGTCACATTTTAGCGTTTGTCCTGTTGTTGTTTGATGCCTAGACCCCCCTATCTTCTTCCCTCTTCAAGCATAAGAATATAAGTTTTAATATAGTTTGTCAGTGGTTGAATTTCCTTCTTTCATGCTGTCAAGTCTTGTGCATTTAACCCGTTTTCCAAATCGTAGCATTTGCATCTCATGGGTACCCAGCGCTGTGGTACGGTAGCTCCAGTGCTATGGCATGTGTCCTCTGTTAGATGGCACCTGCAGCCAGGAACCCTAGAGCCAAATTGAAATTCTGGTGCTGCTGAAGAGTTGCTGCCCTTCCTTCCCCAGAGTCCTTTGGTCCTGCAGCAGCTCTGCTTTCCTCTCATGACTCTTTCTGTCCATGTCTTGAGTGTGGGCATACGCATGTCAGTAACAGGATATTGACACATTGGCGCGTGCTGTCGGTGCTGATTGTGGAGTTCCCACTGTTGGAAATCATTAAGAAAACTGTTGGAAATTACTACGAGAAAGCTGGATAAACACTTACTAGGAAGGATAAAGTTAATTCTGCCCTACAGTAGGAGACAGTCTGGCTTCTTGTCTGATTCTGTAAAGCTCCTTCAAAATACAGAATTTCTTAGCCAGTTTTATCTGCTGTCGTCTGTTTTCTAAATACATTCAAGCTAAATACGTTGTTTTTGTTAGAAGATGTTTCAGCAATCCAAGAGACTGAAATCATAGTCTTGGAGGGGGAAAAGAAAGTTGAAAAAAAAAGTGAGTAGTTCTCGCTGGGTATGTGTTCTATTTTTGTTTTATTTCTATGTAATATACAGTTGCCATTAATTTTTATGTCAGTGACAGATTGCAGTGTATGCATGCTCTGCATATCCTGCATTTCTTTCTGTATCCCTTAACTTCCTGTCAGTACATTTATGCACTTTACATTCTTAAAGTCTTAAGGTCACATCCTGTGGACTCTGGGCCTTATAACACCTCTTAACTTTTATTTCGAAATTATTCTGCAAGTCATTTGTTTAAAACCATCCCTGTGTACGTATGTCTCATCTTCTTGAGAGGACACAGTGGAAACATCAAGTTTTCATATGTCTTGCCCCTCCCTACTTGTAGAGAGGAAAATGGGTGAAACGAAGAAGGAAGTAAGAACAGCATCATACTGGTGCCACACAAGGTGTGAAACCACTGTTCTGAACCTGAACTGTTCTTCAGAAATTCTGGACAGAAATAAAAGAATAAAGGTGAAGGCAAAATGCTAAACTTGATTAAGAAATCAAGGTGAATATTTATTTTGTGTAATACATGAGAGTTTTAGATAATTTCAGCAAAGGAAGGTTTATTACTTTCTTAGGTTTCCTTGTTCCTTTTAGCATTCCCAGTTTCTGCAAGCTTTAGATTTGAATGTAGCTTCCGTATTGTTTTCCATGGCACTAACAGAGCACTGGAAGAAAGTATTTTCCTTGTAACATATTATCTTCGTTTACTTAAATTTCATTGCCGTGGTGGCATATATTTTTGAAGATAAATTTGCTGTATATTGCCTTTACTATTTTTATCTTTTTAGTCAGATTTTTAGCTGTATCAAACTATTTTTGCTTCTATAATAGATCATAATATTCCTTTTCTCCTAAAGAGAAGAATTGAACTGTCTATTACCTGTTCTGTATTGCAGGGGTATGTATTCTCTGCTGTCCAAAGGTTTGATGCGACTGAAATTCATGTAATAATAACCGAATTAACTTCAAAGGAACTTAACTGTTCAGCACAGCTAGAGGTGGTGTGGTCTTCAGTTTCTTCTGAAGTCCTGTGGATGGCTGAGCTTGTGTGCTTTAACTGCTATTTGCATTCAAGTTGCAGTTAAGCCTTAGTTTGCAGTGCAGACTTACTCTGAGTCTAGACATAGGTCTCTAGACTTAGAGTTGTCCTTTTTGTATCTGAATCAGAACTTTCTTGTTCTAACTAAATATACTGTTATTAATGCCTAAGCTCTGAACAGCATTGCTTTGTATATTAAATAATCTCTTTGAGTTCCATCAGATGCATAATTTTTAAAATTATGAGTGTGTTTAAACTTGGAGCCTCTGTTTTGTCAGTTTTCTTATTTCTCTCAGCTCTTCTTAATGTTTTTTTTTCTTTTTGATTTCTCTGACAGATTTTTGGACAGTATTTTCTTGATAGAAGAGTTTCATGTTCCTTCTCTGTGTTTATACTATCTGTATCCTTGATTAACCAAGATGAAACTACTTAGGATTTATATATTTTTTTTTCTTAGAATTTTCTCAGCTGTTGCTGTGATTTTTTTTTTTTTGTTAGCAGCAGATAAACATTGTTTGACTTAAATATTTTTCAAATACTCCTTTTTGCAGACCATTCAGTCAGTTGCGTGTTCCAAAATTACATAAACAAGCCTCAGGTTTCAGATTGCTTGTTCAGGTGGTTGTTTTGAATCATCTTGACCCGCTTATCTTCTATAATGACTAAGTTTACTATAACAGAGGGAAAAGAAACAAGGTGAGAAAAGTTATTTCCCTTTGAAGGGTAAGGACGCATGCTAGTTTCTTTGCTGTTCTAGTTCTTTGTGAAGAATTGTAGAAGAGAGGAAAATGAGTTTGTAATACTTCTAAATCAAAACTCTTGATTTCCGTAGTTTGTGATTGAGTAGGCCTGGCTGTTAGTTCTCATTAAAACAGTTCTGAATTGTTTCAGAAAAATTATTTTCCAGTTTTGTGTAATTAACAGTACATGTTTATTTTTATCCTTAACTGAGTTACTGTAATATAGAAGGCAGGTGTGTGTCCTAGTCATGATGATTTTCTTTGTACTGCTTTACTTATAACTTTCTTTCAGTCTAAAAACATAAGCTCAAGGCCTGTGTCTGTCTTTGGAAAAGGTAAGTAAAAAGGCAACGTGCAGTTTGCTGTTATTTCTTAATGCAACTGAGAGGTTGAGGACCATTGTATTAAATGCTATTCTGGTAATCTAACCATATAGGATAACAGGTGAATACAGTCTGTAATAAGAGAAGGTAGAGGAAAAATGAGAAAATAAATGGACAAAAATGACCCGCAGTTTATAGGATGCTGGTTGCAGTGGCGTTCACAGTGAATAATTGGAGAACATGGGTCAAATTGCTACTCCTAACTTGCAAACAAATTTTTTTTTAAATAAGATTGATTCCATGTAAAAATGTTTTCTTACAAATGTTTGTTTCTGTTCTTTTTTCAGGTATCATGCCGGTGTATCATAACATGTTCGCACTCATGAGTGAAACGGAGAGAATTTGGTATCCCCCAAATCACATCTTCCATGTAGATGAAGCAACCAGACTCATTCTACTTTACCGGATAAGGTAATGTAATGCAAACGTAACTCTTTTTTCGCATTAATACAAAAACTGTATAAGAAAGGGGAAAAAAGATACTTAATTGAATGATACTGTCTCAAAAAATTACAGGCAGATTGTTGGAAAGATCTGGGTAAAAGTTATAAATAAAAGAATAAATATGAATTGAGTGGCTTTGAATAATGTATTTTTGTCTTCTGTCTGCATTCCACAGACTACTCTATTTGCCATTTTAGGTTGAAGAAACAAACAATAAAAATGAAGTAGAAGGGAAAACAATATTTTTTCTTAATAATGATCCATTTGATCTCCCATGTGCTTCCATGTTTGGAATTACTGGGAGTTCTGAAATGTAAAATTGTCTCATGTAGTCTGCAGGATGTCTGCAATAGAGCCATTTGTGTCTAATCTGCTTTTTGAAAGTGGAATTTTAAAGCTATATTCACAGTTTTTCTTACTGCAGGGACTCTTTATTTCTTTGAATTATATAATGTGGCCTGATTATTCCTTTGGTAACTAGTTACAAATTGAGAACACTGAAGCAGTTCCCTTAGTTTGTACATTTCGTTAGTATGGTAACATAAATTTATAGAAATTTCATAGAACTGTTAACATATTTGTTAGAAAAGACCTCTGGAGGTCATCTGACCCACTCTTCTACTCAAAATGGAGTGCCACTTACACTAACTCAGGGCTTGGTCTATTCAGTACTTGAAAGCTGTAAAGGATGGAGATTAAACCGTTTCTCTGGGCAGGCTGTTCCAGTGTTGCTTTACCCTGACATTCCCCTGTTAATCTCTCCAGTGCTGTACATACAAAAAAATCATGAATTTACAGTGCCGAGTTTTACAAATTTTTTCAGTAGTCTAAATGTATGTGGTTTGATGATTTCAAGAACTTTGGTATGTGCAGTAGAAAAAATTTGAAGACCCCTTATGTTACAAATCATTGTATTCAAGTGAGAGCCAGGGTAGAGGGGGCTGTCCTCTTTGGCACACTGATATATGGTTCACTTAGGTGAAGCATAATCTTGTCCCCTTCTCTTGAGTTTTTCAAGAGAGGAGATGTCCTATAAATCCTATTCAGAACTTCTGTTGTTGAGATTCTTGATCAGAGTGTGATTTTTTTTTTTTCTTTCCCCCCCCAACCTTTTGCCATTTGAACCAGTCTGTGTAGCCCTATCTCAAAAGAAACTGCAAGACAGTAACCCAAGATTCTCTCTATTCTGATGAGAATTACTTTGCAGAGCTGCTAACTCTTGCCAGTCGAGCTTCTCAGCCTGGTTAAATGCTGTACTTCTTTAAGACACCAAGAACTGGATCCAAAGTCTTCTGTTGACTCAGTGGGCTTCATATTGGCCCTTCACGCCCGTTGGCACTAAGTTACATATTTGTGAAAGGGAAAATGTCTGGTGTTGGTAAGTAGAAATAGCTGTTTATTGATGTTTGCCTAAATTTTTTCTTGACAGGTTTTATTTTCCCCACTGGTATTGCAATGGCACAAGCAGAGCATATCGGTATGGCATTCTTCGGGGTGCGGAAAGCCCTGTTCTTGATGATATTGTCATGTCTTACCTATTTGCACAGGTATGACTTGCTTTTTTTTTTTTCCGCCCCCCTAACGCTGATTGGTAAAGGTTGTTAGTCTTTACTCCCTTTCACTTCTTCTCATAGTAGCTGTGTAGGCTCTTTTGACTGCTTGAGGCCCACTCTAAATAAAAAAAAAAGAAACTCAGGGTCATATTGTGCTCTTCAAGAGAGGAAACTCAAATGACTGTTGTGGGGAGAGCAGTGACAGTATGTATTTCCTTTCTTGTGCCACTGGCATGTAGAACTCTTTCGGTGCAACTTTCATTTTGAAGTGATATAAGGTGGGACGTCATCTTTCCTATATTGACCTTGTTGGATTTTGACAGTAGAATATTTTAGGAACAGTGTTACTAAGCCTGATGGTAGCAGGTATCCAATAGGAATACGCGCAACCCTTTGGGGACAAAGGGATGCAGTCGGAAGAATTCAATCATTTTAAAAATTTTACTGTTAAACAGCAATGCAGAAGTTGTATTTTGATTTCTCGTATCCTACTTTTTCAGTGGCGAGATGATTTTTTGGATGGATGGATACAAATGCCTGTTACTCATGAAACACAAGAAGAATGCCTTGGAATGGCTGTTCTGGATATGATGAGAGTAGCCAAAGAAAAGGACCAAACGCCGCTGGCTATTTACAATTCAGTCAGGTGACTCCTTACTTCAGAATTATATTACACTTAAACGTCATCTAAAATGATATTTTTGCACATTAGGATCTGCATGGAGTTGTTCAACTTTTAGCAGTTTGGTGGTTTTTTTTCCTAGTATAGTAATTCTATAAATTTACTTGTAGTACAAACTGCAAATTAATAGAAGGCCTATATCAGGACTACTGTTCTGCAGGTTTGTGGGTAGATGGATTTTATCTTAATGAGCGGCAAGACAGCAGCTGCTTACGTGGAAAATGATGTAAGCAATGATTTGTATTGACAGAGACGTCTGGAAGTCATCACATCCGACCCCATGTTCAGATCAGGGCCAGTTTCAAAGTTAGATCAAGTTTCTCAGGGCCTTGTCTGTCCAGGTATTGAAAAACTCCAAGGATGGAGATGTTACCATATCTCTGGGCAGCTTTGTCCTGTATATAATAATCACCCGCATTGAGGAGGATTTTGTCTTTATGTAATCAAAATCTCCCTTGCTATGCTGTGTGTCCATTGCCTCTTGTCATTTCAGTGTGCGCATCTGAGAAGAGCCTGATTCGGTCGTCTTTATTATCTTCAGCTGGTTATAATTGGACAGGTGGTTATAATTAGAAGCCCCTACTTTAACCTTCTTTTCTCCACACTGAACAAATCAAGCTCCTCTAGGCCTCTTCTCTAATATAATGTGCTCTAGGCCCTTAACTATCTTGGCTGGCTTTCGACTGAACTCACTCTAGTTTATCGACATCTGTTTTTATACAGAGGTGACCAAAACTGCATAGAGAAACTTCATGTGTGATTTCATAAGCAGGAAGAGGATGGTCAACTGCCTCTACTTGCTGTCTAGGCTCTTACTGATGCAGTCTTATATGTGGTTAGCTTTCATCACCACAAGGGATGCACTGCAACTCATGTTCAGCCAGGTGTAATGGAAATAGTTCGACCCTAGGTTTCCGAGGAGCAGAGTCTCCCATACCTCTAGCAGCGAAATTAATTATTTATTTAAATGATGGTACAGCAAAGTAACAGCTCGAGCTGGGTGCCTCTGAGAAAGGACCCTAAAGAAAGAAATTCTGGGGCAATTATACTCCTTACAGTCAAATTTCCCTGCCTGCTAGGAAATTCCAGTCGTCTTTACTGAGTCGGTGGTCTCTTTCCTTTTGACTGGTTCACATCTACATCCCGAGACGGTTGCTGTGTTCTTGCTCCATAGTGCCTTATCTTATCCGAAGGTTAACTGTTACCTCTGGCCATTGTGCTCGGTATCTTTGAGGGCTGGTTCTAGCTGGCTTTGCAGTTGCATCCTCAGCAATGTCTCTCAAGCTCATTTACAATTCAGCCCTGTGGCCTGCAGGCTTCATCTACTTTAGGCACTGTAGTGCTAAGCTGGGCTAGAGCTCAATTAAATCCCTTTTCTAACACAGGACCCCCCATGTCTTTTTTGCAAGGCTAACTCCTAGCCTGTTGGCCGGCCTCTAGCCTGTACTGTTGCGTAGGAGTGTGTCGTTCCAGACGCAAGACTTTGCATTTGCTTTGTTGAACTTTCAGAGTTTCTTGTCAGACCGTTTCTTCAGTGTGTTGAGGCTGCTGTGAATCACAGCCTCGTCCTCTAATGTACCAATTGCTCCCTGCAATTTGATAGCATATGTGAATTGGATAGAATTTGTGTTCCATCAGTTTGTCCAGGTTGTTAATGAGGATGTTAAGCAGCATCAGGCTCAGGATCAGCTTCTGAGGAAAACAGCTAGCAGAGTTCAGGCTGCTGACTCACTTCTGTCATAGTCCAGTTGTCCAGCCAGTTTTCCACCCAACTTGTGAATCACCCAATCCAGTGCGTATATTGACAGTTGTCCTACAAGGTTTCTACGCGACCATGTTGAAGGTCTTGCTAAAGTCAAAAGAAACAACACTCAACAAGGGGTGAGCGCTGGATGAGCTAGTCATTTTATCATAGAAGGCAGTTAGGTTATTCATGCATGATTAGCTCCTGGTAAATCCATGTTGGCTATTCCTAACCATCTTTGTGTTCTTCATGTGCCTGCATATAGCTTCCAGGAAGATTTGCTCCATGATTTTCCTAAGGACTGAGGTTAGGCGGACCTGGCCTGTAGTTCCCCAAATCTTCCTACTTTTTCTTCTTAAAGATGAGTATGGTATGGGAACCTTTCCTGATTGCCGTGACCTTTCAAAGATGAAGGATACCAGTCTTCCTAAGGACACCTGCCAGCACCCTCAGCACCCTCAGGTGCATCCCATCTGATCCCATGTACTTATGTATATCTGTATTATGAGTAGTATTGCATTCCCATAGACTGCCGTTAGGCACAGGGGCATGGGTGGCCTGAAAGGAGACCTTTATAGTGAAGACTGAGGTGACAGAAGCAGTGACCTTCATCTTCCCATTCAGTTTCCTAATCGGTTTCCCCTCCAGCTGAGTTAATTCTATCCCTACTTGGTAATTAATGCTCATCTGTCTCTTAGTGAAACCTTGCAGAAAGGTTTCTGCAAGGGCCAACAAACTCATCGGATCCTTACAGGGGTCAGACAACTCTTTTGGCCTCTAATAGAATACAGATTGTGGTACAGGCAACTTAAGTGAGAACCAACTGCAGGATTATATTCTGTCACCTGTATTTTCAACCAGAAGATCTGAGCATTGCTGTCCCTCTTGTCCCCCATGCTGTTTACCTCTTCCCAGCTTCTATACCAGGCAAAGCAAATGCGTATGGTTTAACTCGGAATTTTATTTTGCTGTCTTACTTGAAACTTCAATGACTGAAGTAGAAATGTCTATATTTATAGAGAGTGCATTTATGTAATAGATGTTGAAACTCAATGAGGAAAAAAGAAAAATGGAAGAAGAGATGGATGTATGTTTGAAATAACAAAATACAGATTGAAAAAGAGGATCTTTTATGTTTCAGTTTTTTAAAAATTGTTGCATTTAATGGAGAAGGTATTTACATGCCGTCTTGTTTAGCGCAGAAATAGTTATCTTTGCTAGAATTAATGGATAAAACCAGAAGTTTTTTGATGATTATATATTCACAGCTACAAAATGTTTTTGCCTAAATGTGTTCGAGCAAAAATCCAAGACTACCACATTTTGACACGAAAGAGAATAAGGTACCGGTTCCGCAAATTTATACAACAGTTTGGCCAATGCAAAGCTACTGCCAGAAACTTGAAACTTAAATATCTTATAAATCTGGAAACCCTTCAGTCTGCCTTCTATTCGGAGGTTTTTGAAGTAAAAGAGCCTGGTGGAGATCCTTCTGGAGAGGAGAGTTTTGCAACCATTGTAATAACTGGAAATGGTGGAATTCAGTGCTCAAGAGGAAAACTTAAAGGCTGTGAGACACTGGCAGAACAGGTAATCTTTTTGAATGCAGCTGTTTTCTTATTTTAACTTTGCGATTTATCGCGTAACAGTGATTTGCTTATGTTAGAAGTTGTTTGCTAAAATTAATTTCACAGTGATGATAAAATTTCTCTATGGCTGAAGCTCGCAGAAATTTACCTTGACTTAAACAGTACAGCATTTTAAAATGAGTTTTTATTAATATATTACATAAAAGACAATACTTGAACAATAAGTAATTTAACAAATGAAAATTCAGTGTTTGGACCGTCGCTGTTGTAAAAACTGATGTGGAAAAGTAGTGGCCCTGCCTCCGGGAAATAAAATGCATGCTGTCCTCAAACTGTCGTTGAGTTAAGGTTTTAAGGAGAAAAACAGAATAAAATTACCTCCTTCCTGCTGCAGTTGGACTCCTACCAGTATCAGAGCTAATGAATTTAAACTGACGGTTCTGTGACTGCAGGGTCCACAGTACGCTTTGTTCAGGAATTCGAAGCTAAATGATTCAATAAGTTGTAGTAATCAGGTGCAGTTAGATCTTTATTTACCAATATCGTTTCCCCTATGTGTATGATGTACTGGCATAACTATTTACTGGTCAGATTTACCAGAATCTGATACTAACTCATAGGACAATACCTGAGATGAAATGCAAGGAAAACGCAATTCATTTTTACTAGATAAGGGCATCTGTTACTTCACTAGTTTTGATGCATAATATAAAGCAATTAAGACCAAACTATGAAATAGGGTATATTTTTAGAGGGCTATAATAATTTGTAAAAATATCTTTCTTTCTTATATTAAAAAAAAAAAATTGATTGCCTACCCAGATTTTTTTTTTTTAACTCTTTCTTCTTAGAGTGCCTTTAGATTGATACTAGGTTCAGTTACCTGACTCTCTGTTATGTGTTAGTCCTCTGCCTTGGCTAAGTTGCCTGTAAGTGCCAGTTGCACTAGCGGAAGCTAGTACAAATGTCAACATTTTGCAAGTTGATCTAAGTTACCAGGTATCTTTAAACCATATTTTTATGAAACAATTTTATAATGTTATGTAAACAGAATTTATGCATGTTATGCTGCTTGTACCTGACAAAAAGGCTTTAATAAGAATAGTATTTAAACTGATCTTTTTCACATGGAGATTTCAAAATTATTTTTCATGGTTGATAAGTGTTATCCTCCCCATTTACTGACAGTCATGATGAAGGCTGCATATGTTTGCCCTAGTACAGAAACTATGTACCAGTCATTGGTTATGAAAACTTAGTAATGCAATAAACGTGGCTGGAAGTCTGATCGTAACTCCTATTTCAGCAAGCTATACTGATAAACTTTACTGAGATATTGGACTGGAACAAGATTTTTGTTTTTTGAAGGTGAGAATGACCTATTTGGGCTAGGTAGAGAAGAAATTTGTTTCGACAGTTCACGTTTCCAGCAGCCAGGTATTAATAGAGCCTTAGAGATTTCAGTGCATTTGTGCTGATTTATGCTAGCTGATAATCTGGACTTTAAGACTCAGTATATGCTCAGCATATGCTTGCAGGAAGGCTGCAGTCATGTAAAGGAATATCCTTACTTGAGTAAACTATTTGCTTTGAAAGAATTATTTTAGGTATATAACTCTTATCTTTGTATGAGATTAATCAGCCATCTAAACGATCAGCATCTACAGTTCTACTGGAAACAAGAAAAGGAGCCCTTGATCTATATATAACGTAATTTGATTTTGGTTTTATTGTGAAAGACTGAAGGAAATGACATGGAATACCATGTTATAAACAACTGCCTGAATTTGTCTCTAAAGGACAGTGTGTCTGTGATTTCCCATGTGATTAGGATAGATTCTTCCATTTATCTAGTCAGCGGTGATCATGGCTGGGAGAAGAAGAACCCTCTCTTAGACCCTTTCTTTATTCCTGCTACATAAGTCTTTCTGGAACCAGATTTGGCTGCTCGTATCCTTCTGAACGGAGCCATGAAATTTCGGGGTTGTTAACAGGCTTTTTAAACCTCTGTGCTCGGGGGGGGCTGATAATTTTCCAAAGAAAAGCCCCTAGAAAAAGATAATTCAAAATGTGTTGTTCTTTATTCTCACAAAATACCACTGTACAGACCAAAGAAATGCCTAAATCAAAAGCCCTTATATGGATATTTCCTTTCACAATTTCTGGATCTCTCTGAATTTTTTTTTCCGTCATGCTCTGTAAACACAAAACCCCTTTCATTCTTTCTTTTAACAGCGTATTTAAGATTTTAGGATCTTCTTTGTTGCTAGGCTCAACTTTGGGAAATGTAAATTTTGTTGCGTTAAAACTGGTAATTTCCCAGTCAACACCACTGCTTCTTGATGAAACGTTCGTGTTTTGGGGATTATACTTTCAGTTTGGCATGTCTCCTTTCAAGCAGTATGTTTTGATTTAACCCCTAGTGGTCTAGTATAAGACTTGCAAAGTAAATGAGCTGAGCTGCAGATGAGAGCTGTTTAAAAAACAAATAATTCTGCTTGGATGCATATGTATTTCTACATAAATAGATCAGCATCAATTCTGGGGTTGATTTTTTTTTTTCTCTTTTGAATTCCCCTCTGCACTGCTAACATGGTAGAAATACTAATTTAGAGTGGTAGGAAGGAATTCTGATGTTGGAAATACATTTCCTAATTGCAATTTATGCTATATTGCTGATGTTATAACAAATATTTATTGTAGGATTTACAAACATACTGTGATTTTCCTGATATAATTGATGTCAGCATTAAACAAGCAAGCCAGGAAGGTTCCAGTGAGAGAAGAATTGTCACCATTCACAAGCAAGACAGCAAGAATCTGGTCTGTTGACTTTGCTTGCCATTTATTAAAAGGAATTTTGCTTTGAGCAGACTGTGATTGCTATAGTATTTATGATATTGTATTACTATATGTTAATCAAGCATGAGGTGAAACTGCATTTTAGCAATTTAAGCAGCGTATGAGAACAGAGAAGATCCTGTGCGTTCAGAGGTCTCGGAATTGACTGAAATAGAAATAGACGTTTACAGCTGAGGTGAATTTCTGATACACAGATTGGTCCTTTCCTTTGTTGGTCTCTTATACCTGACTCTGTGATTTTAGGTATCCAGCATACTGTTTGTATGATGGCATGATAAGCAAACTGCTTTTGCCCAACGTTGAAAAGAGGCTTCATAATGCTCTGAAAGAGTGACGATGCGTAGAAATGGAATATAGGGACAAAATAAATATCATAGCTTTTACTATTTAAAACACTTTAAAGGAGAACTTTGAGAAGTATTTTATATATGAATATGAGAAAAAAATGAAACAAAACCTCACAGCTTTTTCAGTTTGAACTCTACCATTGCATGTGGATCAGCCTTTACAGCAGTTAAAACTGCTACGTAGTTATTTCTTCCTTTATCTCTATGAATGATTTTATGTGGCTTCAGGCATTTGTGCGACTGGAGAGCTTCTGCCTCCGTAAGGAAAAAGTTGTAGGTGTGCAGTTTAAGCACTTCTTCCTTTCTGTAAGGAAAAAAGGCTCCAAAGACATTTCAATGAGAATTAATTAATTTTTCTATCTTTTGAATGTGACTTGGGGGGAGGGGTAGTCCTATAGTTTACTTTGATTGTAGTAGAGTTGGTACTCTCATTCATTTCCTGCATTAATGGTACAGAATTGTTGAGAAATTGAAATTGTTTTCAAGGTATCTTGTTAAAACATGAAAGTAACTGGGATATCTGAGATGTGTGTGTATGATGCTTAGAACGTAAAATTATTTCAGTTAGATGGAGGAAGCTTCCTTCACCTTGAGTCCTCAAAATTCTCTTAAAAATTCTCAGTAGTGGTAGAGTACCTCAGTGCGCATACTTCTGAGGACAAAACTGACTTTCTGAGAGCTTGTCTAAACCCAAAGTGACTGTAGCGTAAACCAGGGTAGAAATTTGTAGTGCAGTAGCACTTCCGTGCTTTGAAGTGCAGTGGTTTGTACTTCTCTGTGACACTTTGCATGGTACAGTTAGCTATTTGTAATCTAGTTTAACCTTTCAAACAACTGGTAGAGTCACTTATAAAAATGTGCTTGGGGCCAGGGGTTTGGGGGAACGGGGTTTTTTTAAAATTAAAAAAAAAAAAAAAAAAAAAGGTTGCCATGGAATCATGTTCAGCCACAGTGTCCCCAGAGTCCTGGGTGAGTTTTTACAGCACATACTGAAGCCTGTTCTATTTGGCTACGCTACTGAATGAAATCTAGTGTGACTTTGTAGATGGATGCAGAACCACTTCTCAGTTAAAATAAAGGCAGCCTTTAATGCTTTTACGTGACTGTCAAAAGATTAAAAAATAAATAGCTAATGGAAAATAGTCTGTATTTACATAGGTGGTAATAATAAATATATTACAGGTAAATTAAATCTTGCCCCTGCTCTTACCTGTTCAAAGCATTTTTGCACAGACCTTTTACACACCCTGCTTTCTTTGACCGCATGATTCACCACCTTGCTTCCCTCCATTGCACCTCTCTTCTTGTTCAGTAGGCAAAGGTGTCTCTGGGATCCAGCTCAGGATGCTAGTATTTACTGACTGCTCGTTAAATTTTCGGTCAAGTACCTTTCTAGAGATTTATTTTTTGCTAATTGAGAAGAGCCCCATAAATCTTTGATAAGCAGAGTTTTCCTGTAGGAAAAAAGTCTTGGCTGTGATGCCAGTGCGATAGCTGTTTGCCATGCTGAATAGCAATCAGCTCAGTTTTCCCTTTCAACTGTTCCCTATTTAAACTGCTTTTTACGCAAGTTTGTTTGTTTTCTGTTTCATTTTGAACATTGAGGGTTACTACCAACTTTGGGGCACCTGCAAGTTAGAACTATATAAATAGAAATAAGAAACAATCTGGGTATATTTAATGTATGCATGTATTTATATGTTTTATATTATTAACATATCCAGTAATTCTGTATTGCCTATTATAAATCTAATAATCTCTCTCTTTTTTGTTCACCTGCAATTCGACAGGAGGCTGAATTTCAGTCATTAAAAGAAGCTCTCTCCTTTGTATCATTGATTGATGGATATTACAGATTAACTGCAGATGCCCACCATTATCTCTGTAAAGAAGTAGCACCACCATCAGTGCTTGAAAATATCCAGAGCAACTGCCATGGGCCAATTTTGTAAGCTATTTTCTAGTGACATAACAAGGTGCTTTTGCTTTTGAAAGGTTAACTTTAGCCAACTGTAAACCATGCTGGACATTTTGAGAAATGGATGACATGTATGTAATACAAAATGCTTCAAATTTTTTCTCTTGATTTTTTTTCTTTGCAAAATACAGTGTTGTCTTGATGTATCACCAAAAATACAATGAAAGATTCTGATTTCGATTTTCTTCCTTTAGAATTCTTTTTTTTTCCCTCTAACTAGCCGGGCAGTAAAGACATGATGCTGATTTTACAAAATTATAGTTATTACCGTGACAACAATGTATTATGCAATAAACAGAGGATCTCATATTTTCACTACAGCCTCTGGCAGAAATAGTATCTGAGTTGCAAAGGGTAAAAGGCAAATTAAGATGCTGCTAGCTTCAATATTTGAGCCAAGAATACAAGGAACTGCTGACCACCTAGCTGGAGGTTTTGTTTATTTTTAATATTGTCTCCTTGTTCATTTGCTCCAGTTTTTTAGAGAATTTCTTTTTTTTGTCCCCCCCCCCCCCCCCCAACAATTGATATAGTATTGTTTGTTGTTCGCAGAAGAATGCAGGCTGAGTTTAGCAGTGCTTTGGTAAGGCAAAATAAAATAGCTGTTTTCTTCAGCCTGTAGAAAGCTTGGAGGCTTTCCTGATATATGCAAGAAAGTCACCCATGTTGCATAAAACTAGCACTGTCCTACTCGGGAGATAAGGAATCTTTCTGGAAATCTTTTCTGTGACAAAAACAGGATAGATGCTACAATCTTCAGAAGAGATGGAGGAGGAAAAGGATGGAGACCAATACAGACTCGATCACATTTCTTCCACCTGGCAGACCTAAACTATTGCCATATGTTGACCTTTATTTAGGGCCGCTGAGAAAGATGTGCAGTGGGTCTAAACCTTTCCAGACCGTTCTATTCCTGCTCACCTGAGCCAGACAGAAATAGTCAGTTAGCCAAGACATGATTAGGGGAAAATGAATTTTTGTGGGGATAAATGATGGAAGAAATTTTATTTCAACTCCTCTTTCTTTTTAGCCCTTTCCCTTGTTAAACTAGTCATTCCCCCTGCCCCCCATTTTGCTAGTTTTAGCTTGTGTATTAGACAGCTTCATTACAGTTTCTTCCATGATGGAAGCTGAAAGTCATATCTTGAGCCTAGAGAAATATATTTCTTTTAGGCTGTAAGGTTTCTCATGAAATGGGTAATTGTGACGTTTTCAGTATTAAGAATTTTTACTATACTCCTCTCTGTGTAAGCCGCTACTCTGAATATTGTAAAAGAAAGGGACAAAAGAACTGGCGTTAGTGAAATTCTGAAGAACCAAGAACTGTCATCAGCGTATTAGACATCTGATAACAGTGTTTGTTAGTCAGTCTCTCATGTTGTTGATTTTGAAATTAAGCAGTATTAAATATTTTTTCTTTTTACTATAGCATGGACTTTGCTATCAGTAAACTGAAGAAAGCAGGTAATCAGACTGGCTTCTATGTTCTTCGATGCAGTCCTAAAGATTTTAAAAAATACTTCCTCACCTTTGCCATAGAGGTTGGTATTCTGCCTTGAATAGTACCTGTATAATCTTTTTTGTCACAATGGTGAGCAGAGGCTGTACAGCAAATTATTTTGAGTTTTCTCTTCAGAATGTTCATCTGATTCAGTACTTACTTGTGTCATATTAGCAAACTTTCCTGATCCTGTGAGAAGCATATCACAATCTCTCTGCGCTTAGCAATCACTAATTATAGATACCTCACACCTTGGAAAATAAGAGAATTAGCAGAGAGGGAGCTTGAGAGCTCTGGGGAGGGTGATGTATTATCTGACACATGGCCCTCAGAGTCAAAGTAGTTTTTTTGTGGTGATGGCTTTTGTGTGTGTGTGTGTGATGTGTGTGTTGTTTTTTTTTTTTTTTTTTTAAAAAGACTAAGGCTTGGTTAGAGTGGGTGTACAGTTAGCTCCCTTGGTGATCTGGCAGCCTCTCTCAAGGTTCTCCTCAGTTTTGGGAGGGTCTCTGGGGGTCTTTTTGTTTGTTTTTACTTTTCCCTCACAGTGCCGGGCCAGACAGATTATATCGCAGCTCTTACATCAGCACAGATCTGTTGGGCATATGATGTTACCTGCAGTGGAAGCCACACTTGAAAGGCCTGCAATTCTCATGCTGTTAAACAGCCAGATGTACTTCTGCTCTGTGCAATAATACTTTACATAATTACATTATCTTGTTCCATGAATGTGGTTTGGTGTTTTTTTTTTTTTTTAATTAGCAGAGCTGCTTTTGGATTCATAAGTAGGGAAGGTAATATGTGGGTTTTCTTGTTGATATGCAGCAAGCTAGTAAACTTGCCTAAATACTATCAGACGTACATGACAAAAAAATGCTGATGTGTGGATGAAGAAGTAAACAGACATTTTGAGATCAGTTTCATGAAAAATGTCTGGTATGTATGTCCAGTCAGTGAAGTACACTTGAAGGGGAATTTTCTTTAGACTGAGAGATCGTTCTCGGAGCGAACTTAGAAAGTTTCAGGAGTCGGAGCATTCAGCCCAAGCTAAGCTTGCCATTAAAATTGACCTTGCCAAATTTCTTCATGTTCTGATTATTTCTGGGCAAGCAGTTAAAAGGCTTTTGAGATTTGGAATTTGTTGGAACATTTTCCACATCGTTAATATGAAGGCACATGAAAGCGGTGTTAAGAGGTCCTCTTGTTTTGAAAAGGCCAATGCGATCTTTTCAAGATTCATCATAAAAAAATAAAAAAATAAAAAAAAATCAGTGCATAATGAGAATCTATACTGGAAAAAAGGTGCTCATAACTGCACTGTAGACAACAGAAAAATAGAAACACAGCTGAGCTCTCCAAATGCTTGCCAGAAGAGCTTGTCATGGCTCAGTGCCATTTCTAAGAGGCATTCAGTTTGAGCATTTGGGTTATTTCTTCCAGCAAAATTTTGTTTTGATATTATTTTTTAGGGTGAAGGAATTTCCATTACTGGATTGCTGGATCCATTCTCTGCTTTCAGGTCTCCGTGATTGGAGAGTTGGTAACATTAGTTTTTCTTAGCGTCAGCATACTAATTCTTATGATGGGAATGGTATCTTATTTTCTTAAAATGAGTATTACATAGCGAGAACAAAACAGCAAATTATGGTAATCTGCTGCTGAAGTATTTTCTCTTTAATTAGTGGAGCGTTCTGTATTCAAAACATGTTTTTGAATAGTAAATATCTTTCTGAATAATAAATGTTTCTTTTTAATGAAAAATCTACAGCGTGAAAATGCCACTGATTATAAGCACTGCCTAATTACAAAAAATGAAAATGGGGAATATAATCTTAGTGGAACCAAAAGAAGTTTCGGTAATCTTAAGGATCTGTTGACCTGTTACCAGACAGAAACTGTCCGTTCAGACAGCATAATTTTCCAGTTTATCAAATGTTGTCCTCCAAAACCAAAAGGTAAGAGATGGTAATTTATTTCTAAATATGCGTGTGTCAAACTTGCAGACTGAGGATTTTAAAAATACATTAGTAGATGAAACTGCTCTCAGGAAGGGAGACATATATTTGCTTGTATGGATTTTTGTTTAGTTGGGTTTTTTTGTTTTTTTTTTTGTTTTTTTGCACTGACCTGTGTGTTCGTCTTGGTTATAGAGTTTTCAGTCGTAGTGGCTGCCAGATTTTACTTGGTTAAGGAGATGGTCTTCTAGAAGGAGTTGTGGTAGCTGTAACAGTTTTATATCAGAAGTACAACTGGTTTCTTAATTGCAGTGGATTGTATGCAGCAGTATTTCTTCTTCACCCAAGTGTTTTTTGGGTCTTGAAAAGGACACAGCTACTAAATGTGTATCACTTCTGTCTGGACAGTTCCATAAGCAGTAGAACCAACGATGCCAGATTTCCAGTGAATTTTTTTAACTGATGCTTGACATCCTGGCTGAATTATTCCAAGGCTAGAATGTGATTTCAAGTTCAATTTAATGTTGGAAAGCGCACGTGGAATAGAGCATCTGCTGGAGAAGAGGATTTTCTGAAATCCCACCAGACATGAACTTGTATTAAAGATTTTCCCTAGCTTAAATATTCATACTCGCTTTCTCCCTTAATTCTAATAATGAACGTCTGTCTCTCTGAATCTGTATCTAAACAAAAACTCAAGAGCACAGAATATTTGATACGTGTCTTTCCCCTTCCAAATTTGATGGAAATTAGCCAGTGGATTCAAAAGTCTAGAAGGGAATTGACAAGTAAATGCATGTGCATGTTACAGAGAATAACTTTGCTTCCATGGAAATCAATAACCTTATTTCCATGGGAGTCAAACAAGAATATATACGTATCTGAATTACAAAATATTGAATAAGTATAATGACATGTGCATGCACACATTTGCCTACAAATGTGTATCTGTCAGCTTTGGTTTCAGTAGCAGATTTGTTCCACCTCCTGGAGAGACTTTTTTCAAAATCACTTGAAGAGTAATTGTTCTGGTACATATAAAAGGCAATGAGGATCGCTAAAGTGCTGCCAGGGGCAAAAATACTTGCAAGTTCTAGAGAGGCACTGATACACATGTGTCTGTGTCCGAAAGACTTCATAGTATAAAATAAGAAGCTAACTTACATGCCCTTTTCCACGCGATTGTTGTTTGCAATACATCAAAAAGTTAAGATCTGAAAGGAGGCTGGAGTATTTTCAGAATGTGCTTGTCAAAAGTAGGCATACTTGAGAAACACCAAGTAGCTGAGCGAACCTAAGTCTTTTTGCTGATTAGAAGAATTAAGACTTTGAATTTGTTTAACAGTTACAGTTACAGTTTTATGTTTTGCAGCTTTATTTTCTTTTCTTCTCCCCCCTCTGTTTTTCTCCCAGATAAATCAAATCTTCTAGTTTTCAGAAGCAATAGTGTTTCTGATGTGCCTTCGTCACCTACGCTGCAGAGACACAATAATGTCAACCAGATGGTCTTTCACAAAATCCGGAATGAAGACTTGATATTTGTAAGTCGTTTAGTTGCATCTTCCACTGCAAGCGGTTGGTTTGATATATATTAAATTATAAAAACTTAGTACATACTTACAGTAGTCTTATCTGAAGTAAGATAGTTTGCTGTAGTCTTTCCTTAGAGTTGTGAGAGGGGAGAAAATACTTAGAACTTTCCTGTAATACAAATAGTCATTATATTCTTTTATAAAAAACATCCTTTTAACTGCAATAACAGTTGTTCTCTCTGTGCCTACAGATGTCTAAATACCACTCTGTAATAGTAGCTCCCTCCTCTCTAGTTCTTGCAGCATTTTATTCCCCGAGATCCACAAGAATTCAATGAAAGATTTGCTCTTTCTTGTGTAGTTGCTTCCGAGTCCTCTCAGTCTGACTCAAGATGTGTGTTAGCTGTGAAATTTTGTATATGCTTTATTTAGAGTGGGAATTTGAGATGTTTCCCAGACCAGGCAGAGATTTCTGTGTTTTGTTTTGTTTTGTTTTTCTGTCTTTTAGGAAGAGAGTCTTGGACAGGGCACATTTACTAAGATTTTCAAAGGTATAAGGAAAGAAGTGGGAGACTATGGCCAGCTCCATCAAACTGAAGTTCTTTTAAAGGTCCTGGATAAAGTGCACAGAAACTACTCTGAGGTTGGTGTGATTGTTTGCTATATAATATTTGTCCATCATATACGGAACATTACTTTTTCTTAGAGTGAGCAACTTGGCGTATTTGTTATATAGTAGAAGACTGTTCAACGGAGTTTATTCTTGGCTTCATGAAACTAAGAGGATGGGTTTGGAACTGGCTCTGGAAAGTACACTTAGGTACTTTATTTTCCCCCCATCCCTCAGTGAATTCTGAGCTGCTCACTGAAAGACCTTGCAGGTAGCACAAGAAAGGCAGTTTGGCCACAGACCTCTCTCTTTCCGGTAAATCTGTTATATATAAATGAAATGCCAACATTTCTGAACAATTACTTTCTTTATGTTGCCTATCTGCCATTTTTTTGTAATCATATTAATTCTCCAATGAAATAAATGCTTCAAGTCATTAAAAATCAGAAGTATATATGTATATATGACAAACACTTGCTGTATGTACAATCATCCATACTCTAATAGGCCTTTCAGTGTTTGAGTGAAGCTGTGAGCATACCAGAAAGGCCCTTCTGCAGAAGTCAAACTACTATTCATATAATTGAGCCTAAACTTACGTATGTGAAAATTTCAGTTTAAAAAAGTTAGCAGGATGTGGTGATTTTTAATAGGTAATTTTTAATATTTTATGTAACTTTGTATGGCTATTTATTATCTACTTTGGTTATGTAGTTGTATTAAATCCCTATATAGTCTAGAAGCCTTTCAGCAAGCCAAGAGAACCAATCTATTTTTCAACTGTTTAAAAAATGTGTATATTAAAATGTTAGCACAAAAGGAAAGACATTTCTAATAGCTAATATTTACAAGCTATGAGGGTGTACACTTCAGACATTTCAAAAATAATAAACTAAAGAACACCCCATATTTTTAACTTTAATAAGGCTGAGCAATTTACTCATATTCTAAAGTGAGGTGAAAATCTGTTGACCCTAAGAGTACAGAAATGTAAATGCAATCAATTAGAGGAAAAAGAGCTATTTTTGACTTCATCTTGGCAATGGAGTAATCGACACAAAAACTGCAGTTGGAGAGGCTACCGAAAAGGATCAGGAACAACTGAAGTAATAAAAACATCTGAAATTTTTCTAACGTGGTGGGGTCAATCTACAGTATTGGATGAATGATGTAATGCTTCTTAATTTTGTATGAAGGAATAAATTGGAAACTGCGTAATGCATCATGAATTTATCCACTGTCTTGTTTCCTTAGTTGACAAGGAAGAAAAGATTATCTTTGCAGTGTGGGGTTGCACCTGCCTGCAGGAAAAAAGATTGCTAACTTCTGGAGTATGCATTATCAGTTATTTAAAAAAGATTTTTTTGCACAAGAAAGTTTTTGCAATATCGTTTATATTACACTAGCTTTGCAATGAGATGCAAATTGAAGTAGTTTTAAAAATGAAATCATTTTAATAATTTTATGAGAGATCATTTAATGTTTTTGGGTTTTGTCTTCATTCCTGTTTTTTCTCTCTCTCCTTCCTCAAAGTCCTTCTTTGAAGCAGCAAGTATGATGAGCCAGCTTTCTTACAAGCATTTGGTATTAAATTATGGAGTCTGCGTGTGTGGAGAAGAAAGTAAGTAGAAGTAATTTATGTACACTGATCTTATACAGCTATAATTAGAGTTGGCTCTTGGTTCTGTGTAAGAGAAGAAAAAAAACAGCATCACAGCTGCTGGACACTTAACACGTATTCCCATCACAATAGCATAAGCCTTGGTGTCTGAAACTGAGTTGAAAGATTACGATAACAGAGACAATGGAAGACTTATGTAAATATGATGAGTGTAAGTAGTAAGTTTTGCGAATAACTCACTGTCATGTGTGTTCCGTTTGAAAATCTGATATACGAAACGTTTTGCTAAGCTTCTGAAACTAGCTTTTTGAGACTGCGGAAAATTTCCCCTTCTACATTTTTATTAACTGTGGTCAACTAAAAGTAGAAGTGGTTGACTGCCCAAGAAAACCACCATCTGTTGTGATAAGAAACTTAATTGGTACCCCATGCCCATGCTAACTTTGTGAGAACAGAGGTAGCTGTGGGAAGAGAGCCTTTTCCTGAATCAGGAGTTGCTTCCAATAGGAGGCTGGAAAAGACAGAGCAATATTTGGTCAAAGACTTTTCATACCAGTTTATTTGGAAATACACCCAGAAATTGGTTTTCATAGTTTATTCATGACAGCATGAGCATACACATTCTAGGGGCTATACATAAAAATTCCAGATAGATATAGTATATTATTAAAATAAGTTATCTGAGGATGGATACAGTTACTTGTTTCTCCTTTAGAGCACAGTTGCCCTCCATAATCTCTTTTATTTCTGAAGGCAAAGGAAGTTTATTAAATCTACAGTTTTGTAAGAGGCAATTACCAAGAAATAGGAAAAGTGGCTATTAGACTTTCTATAGTTTAGACAGTTTATATAAGATCTGATGAAAATTCCTTCATGTACTTGTGAAAAAATGTCTGTTATCTATGAAATGAATTTATCTGTAAAATGAATTTTTTGAAATGTTATTTTTGATAACAAAATATAATTCCAATAATTTCCAGTGACTCTGTAGTTTAATTGAAAGTATGGTAATGTGAGTGTCTTGCAGCTGAAAGCAAGAATTCCATCATATAGTTTGAAATTGTTTATAGAAACTGATGGGAACTGCGCAGCGTTATGAAATTAACTTTATTTCTTTGGTTATTCACTGGATGACTGTGTGGAGGCATATGTCATATCAATATATAAAACTTTTTAGCGCTACACAAGATAAGCTATTGCCAGTCTGTTTGCAAGAAAAGCGTCTGTTTCAGCAAAGCATATTATTTTTCAGTCAGGGTACAGACTGTAAGCAACTAAGAAGTGAATGACTGGAAGTGAGTTTATTCTACTTACTACATTGATACTGCTATACACTGCAATGCTTATAACAAACCCATTTATTGCACTTTTGGCATGAGGGTGGAAGGGTGCTAAGCAGATTTGGTAAGGATTCCCCTGTTTTGTAAAAGAAGGACTACTAAAAATCTATTTTAGAAATGATTTTGTGTTTTTGAAGAAATTATGCAAACTTTCACACTGTGAAGAAGTATAAGGAACGTGCAATATTTGTGACAATATTCAGATGTGATATAGCTTTGATTTTGTAAGTGGCCCACAAAGAAAGTACCAAGAAAGAGACGCGTGATACTAGAGTACTGTACCCACCCTGAAATTCCATTTACTTATTGTTGTTTTTAATTGTTACTCTTTTAACATTTTTAAATCAGATATCCTCGTGCAAGAATATGTAAAATTTGGATCCCTGGACACATACTTGAAAAAGAACAAAAATGCTATCAATATCTTGTGGAAGCTGGAAGTAGCAAAACAACTGGCATTAGCTATGCATTTTCTGGTAGGTCGTTCATTCTTCAGTTTCGTTAATAGCTGGATCCCAGTATTTCAGGTAGTATTCAGGTTTTTCAGGCTTACACATCTAGAATGACTGGTCCATTACCATCCTTCTTGAATTTGGGTGGGGAATTTGAAAATAGGATGGACATGCACCAGGTAAAGTTAGTGGATAGCCAAGAACAGACCATAGTACTTTACGCAAAGTGAATTTTCCAGTATCTTTCAATGCTTTATGTTTATTGTGAAATAAAATCCATTTTCAATCTAAGATTCCTTTTTTTTCCAGGAAGTAGTAGCCAACCAAGTAGTATCTGGGAGGGGAAAATATTTTGCTATTCAAACTTCTATTACTCTTTTTTTTTTTTTTTTTTTATTTGTATGTGCTTTAGGCCCCAGTATTCTCTGTTCGATCCACTTAATTTAGCATAAAGGCCATTATTTGAGACAAGATATGTGATTAGAGGAAACTTACTTTTAACAGAGTTTTACTCTTCTTCTGTTCGTTTTGCATGGATCACAGTGATAGATCAGTATTCGCCCAGTTCACATGTATTGAAGAGTTTTAAACTCAAAACTTAGGTAGCTAGTTAACATGAATCAAAGTTGGCTAGAAACCTCTACCTCTGTGAGAGGAACTGTTGAAATGTCTATGCAATTTGATCGACTTAATCTTTTATCATTTTCTTTACTAATGTTTCTTTCATGTTATGAAGTATTAGTTTTGAAATACCTCTTCAGTTTTAAGATATTTTTGTCTGTATGTAAAAAGCTATATTTCTGTTCATCAGGAGGATAAAGGCCTTGTTCATGGGAATGTCTGTGCAAAAAACATCCTGCTTATCAGAGAAGAAGACAGGAAGTCTGGAAACCTTCCTTTTATAAAACTTAGTGATCCTGGCATCAGTATTACAGTTTTGCCGAAAGACAGTAGGTCTTTGTTTGTACAAGTCTTATTTCTCTAACGCTTCTGGCTTTAAAATGACAGATTTTTCTTTCTGATCACCATCTGATCTACTTCTGTTATAGTGAGCTCCTTCACACTTTCTTCACTTTAAAATAACCTCCGAAGTCCTAGTCATCTGTTACGAGCGTATCCTGTTTGTCCACAAATAGCTACAGTAAACAAAGCCACATTGTCCTGTCCATTTCGTGGGATTTTTTTCCTGCTGTTGTCATTGTAAACAATTTTCTTTCACTGGTGGCACTATTAGTATGCTCTAATGTACTATCCTGTTATTAGTAAAGATTAAATTGTTGTGTTTTTTAGTTTGGAGAGGATTTCAGAGTTTAAAGTAAAAGTGCTTTTGAAAATGCTTCCTGGCAGTTCAATAGCATCTCCAGTGCATCTCACTTATGAATACCTGAAGTCACTGATGATGCTAAAAATACCAGATTATCAGTGAAATTAGCTCAGACTAAAAGAAATGTGCAATGTGTGCAACATTCATATGCTAATGAAACTGATGAGACCGTATTATTCTTTGTCTACTATTTTAAATACTTTTGGAAAAGTGAAAATATTGTTGAATTTGTATATGCTGAAAGAAATAATGCATCTAAGAGGCTATAAGCAGTGCCATACCCTATTTTCCAGTGAGGTGTTTTAAGATCCTTTTGTAAATGAAAAGCGTCCGTTAATCTTTGTAAGATCTGATTTTAAAAAAACTCTAAATTAAAGTATCATGTAATATTTAACTTGTTAGTACAATCACTATCAAAAGATTTCACAATCATTAAGTGTGAAATTCATTTTTATTTCTCCGTGGCATTGCTGTGCCATTATGTGATGTCTAATATTCCAACCACTTACAAAGTAGTTTTGACTTTTCACCATCTAGTTCCTTTGTGGTGGCTTCTAAACTTGATAACATCAGGGAAGGTATTAAAGTCAGAGGAAAAATATGATGCGGAAATGGGATTAAGGCAACTGTATAGCATTGGTCTCACTTTACAACAAAACTAATGGTCCCCTATTCTGCTTTATAAATGCTATTTTTGTTGATATTCTGTAGCATTTTCTAGTCAAGAACAAAAATTTGGAAAGGTATTCAAAGTGCATTACAAAATTAAATATCTGTGCATACTCAAAATATTTTTATTAAATCAAGCATGTTACAGAACTTTGTGTTTTCATTACTGATCTTAACATGGTATTTTGTTTGCATGATTGCAGTTCTTCTTGAGAGAATACCATGGGTACCACCTGAATGTATTGAGAATCCGAAACAATTAAGCCTGGCCACAGACAAATGGAGTTTTGGCACTACTCTATGGGAAATCTGCAGTGGAGGAGACAAACCTCTGAGCGCACTGGATTCTCCGAGAGTAAGTATTACTGGATCTGCAGTCAACAGTTCTTTGGGCACTTTTAATTTAAAACATCTGCTGTTGTAACTGTAGTCATTAGCATGAGAGGTGGTGTCACCCCTGACCCCTGCAGTAAAACGACTTTTGATCGTTGTCTACCAGTAAAAGGGTAATGGTTTGCGGTTTGTTTTATGTTATTTTGCTTCGCCAGGACAGCTTTGCCAGTATATTTTGTGTGCATTTCTGTTGTTTTGTTGCTGCTGTTACCACTATATATCTACACATGACTTGTTCCTAAAAATGTACATGCTTTTTAATTCGCATGAATTTTCTAGTTATACCAAAGTTGAACACTGTAAATACTGTAATAGTCCGTGTTGCAGACAACCCAAGGTCTATTTTAGCTAAATCAGAAAGGTTGACTTTGTCTCAACTAGGGGCAAAAGGCATACCGTGTGTCATAAAAAATACTATTTCTTGTATATGTAATTACCCCTTAGTTGGAAGCAAAAAGATTATTTCCACTGCTGAATCTCCTAGAAGATTTGTAGTGTTATTACTCTAATGAGACTAATTATCTTCTCCTTACAAAGCCTGATCTCATTTCTCTGGTGTTGTGGTCAGCTCTTACAACAATAAGCTGCTAGAATAGCTTTCAGGTCTAGGTGGAGCTAGATATTTCAGTAAATGCCCTCCTCTCTAACTGACTTGCATTCTTTCATAATAAGGAGGAATTTTATAGTTAGAGGAATTCAGTCAGCTTACAAGTGGATAGAATTTTCTACTGCATCCATCCCATTAGGTTTTATTATATTACCTGCAAAAGAGAAACCATCTACGCTCGTTGTCTTTTTCTCTATTCTTGTCTTCCACTAGTAGCTGCCTGGGAATTAATGAGCCAATTACTTTAAATTATGCTGGTCTTGCTACGTTATCAGCCTTGGCTCCTGACATAAGTTGGTCAGATGTGCAAGGTGGTGAGATAATGAGTCTAGGCTAACAGGTGTGGATTTTTTGGCTGCTCTGGTCAGAACATTATGGCTGTTGCAGCTCTTCATAGTTGTATGCTAAAATGTCTCTAACCTCTTTAATCCCAGAAACTACAGTTTTATGAAGATAGACACCAGCTTCCTGCCCCCAACTGGACAGAACTAGCAAACCTTATAAACAACTGTATGGATTATGAGCCAGATTTCAGACCTTCATTTAGAGCCATTATACGTGACTTGAATAGCTTGTTCACTCCAGGTGAGTGTATGGTAGGACAAGAATGCGCTATAAAAAAGAACCATGATCCCTGTCAGTTTGTTTTCATATGGTGCCTACCGTTTTGTACCCCCCCAGCCATACTCCACTGCTGTAAATGTAAGTTAGTAAATAAGTGTGGTATGTTAATTGCCTTTCAGTTTGTTAATTCATCATCTTCAGTTTGAGAATTCATCAAAAGTGGGCATTATCGTTCAAAGTAGTTTCCTGGTTTGATTAATGTCTGTCCCAGAGGTTTTAGTTCTAGTCACTTAACCAAGTATGTTGTATTTGTGACTGTCATCTTCCTCTCGTTACATAAAATAAATAGACAGAAGTCTGCTCTCTTCCAAGTGGAAGACACGCGTTATCAGAAGTCTTTGCGGAGTTTCCATTTCTCCGCTCTGCTCTAGTGGAGTCATTGCCTAATAGTTGCAGTATTTGAAGTAGAATTGACCAGCAAAAAAAAGCATTTTTTGGAAAGTAAAGGAGGACTCAGTATGAGTCAAAACAAGTCACTTGGCTGTTTTGTAATACTTCCTTTTTTATGGCCACAAATTATTATATAGAAATTAAGGGGATTGTTAATGTTGTACTGTGCTCAGGATATGCCTAGCAAAGGTAGAACATGCCAGCATTGTGGTAAGTTTCTTCGTTCTCCTATATGCTTCTCTCTCTTTGCCTCCTGTTCCCTCTTTCTCCTCTATTCTCTCCCTCCTCTCCCTTCCCCCTTCAGATTACGAGCTATTGACAGAAAACGATATGTTGCCAAATATGAGAATTGGTGCACTTGGATTTTCTGGAGCATTTGAAGATCGGGACCCAACACAATTTGAAGAAAGACATCTTAAGTTTTTACAGCAACTTGGCAAGGTAGGTTATTTTGAAATTCTCTAATTGCCAGGAAAGAACTGTCATATTCAGTTATCTTCTGATGACCCCATGTACACTATTTACATTGAACACTTCCGTTACAGAAATTAACATTTTCAGTTATATCTCAGTGTAACATGCAGTTCCTTTCAGATCTTTTTTTAGTTTATCAGTGTCATTAGACAGAATAATGATAACTGATCTCTACAGTGAATCCAGTGACGTTCACTGGCTAAAATTTTTTGGTGTGGTAAAATAACACACAGCCCTATCGGACTTAATCTATTTTTATTTTTTTCACATGCTGTTTATTTAAAATTGCTCCAGAGCAGTCCTGCATAGAACTAATGGGGTTTTTCTTGTGCGTGGATATCCCAGGAACTTATAAATATGCAGTCCATAGTCAAGCATGTCAGTATTTGGTAGGCCTTGAATATTTGAGTCTATAGAAATCCGCTTTTGGTGAAAAGCTTTGCAAATCCCTGCAGCCTGGCTGTATGAAAGCATGCCTAGACAGAGGTGCAGCTGACAGAACTTCAGCTAAATACCATTTTTCCTGGCTAATTCGCTACTCCAAGTAGGAGTGAAAATAAGCCTAAAAGCAAAGAGGCTAAAATATAGGATAGTTCTTGACGGAGAGGAACAAAGTGGTAGGTGAGGATGATAAAAAGGAAGATAGAGAAAATATAAACGGAGAAGGGGAAGAAGACAGAACAGAGAAACAAACGGGGGAAAAGGCTCCAAGAAACAGAGGAGAACCGGGAGCGAGGAAGAGCCTGCATGTAGTATATTTTGCAAATGCAGGAAAAAAGAAGTATCCTAACTGGCAGTTCAGAAGTGGAAGGAAATTTGTGGAGATGGAGGGGAATGTGAATGGAGGCCATCCCCTCTCCTTGCCTGCCTTTGCTCCAGCACTGTTTGCTTCCTTTCAGTGAATGTGTTCCTTACTCTTACGGAACTACTGCCTGTGATCAAGTTTTATTTCTTTTCACTTCAATAAAAGTCTGTTCACCTTAATGCTAATGCAGTAAGCATTAAGGTATTATGTGCAAGCACGCAGATAGAAAAAATGGTGTGATCTTGTTTTTGATGCAGTTATTTCTGTTTGTGATTTAGGGAAATTTTGGCAGTGTTGAGATGTGCAGGTATGACCCTCTACAGGACAATACTGGAGAGGTGGTGGCTGTGAAAAAGCTGCAACATAGCACAGAGGAGCACCTTAGAGACTTTGAAAGGGAAATTGAAATCCTGAAATCTCTGCAGCATGATAACATTGTTAAATATAAAGGAGTATGCTACAGTGCTGGTATGTGCTATATTGAATACGCCTTCATGTATACACTTAAGGATGTATGCTGAGAAACTGGGAGAGAAGTGTTTATGAAAGTCACTGGCTTGTTCTAACTTTATCTGTACAAATCAAAAAAAGTAATGTCTGTCGTGTACTACTTTACAGTACAAGATGGGTTTGATTTTATTCTGTCAGCTCATTGCATAATTTGATTGATTTAAGGAAAGTAACATTTTGAGTAGTTCCCTTGTATCTTTATCTTAAAGTACTAAGAAGTCTTCCTGGAACAGAATTTGGGGTTAAGTAGGAAAACGTACCCGTTTTGTAACTGTTGTTTTTCACGCAATGTAATATCTCAAGGGTGGATATTACCACTTCTTGTACTGCCTGTAAGATAAGAGACTTGACAGGAAAATGTTTCAGAAACTGATATGTTTGAGTGAATTGTTGACCCTGTTCAAGTTGAGTGAAAGCATGGTTTTGCACAGGGTCTTTCTTTAAGAAGAAAAATCTTGTCTTTATAATCCGACTTTTTAAAGATGGTGAAATTACTGACCCGTTGATGTCCATTGCCGTTCTGAGTTTCACCTTAACGATGAGGAGGGGTTATATAAACACAGATACACGCAAGTGGCATTTATGTTTTGTCAAGTAAAGTATTGGTGAGATTATCTCAATTAGTGATGCTTCAGGTATCAAGGTTCTCCACATTTTTGTCGTATTTAAATAAATGATACTTCCTTGATATATGCGGTTAACTAATATATGAACAATTGCAGAGTGGTGCATAATGTACGCAGAATAAATTGACCTTTTTGGGTAGTAACACTGTAATCTGTTAGCTATTCATAGATACTTGTAAATATTCACATTTCAAAACTTTCTTCTAGGAAGAAACCAATAAAATAATTTGTATGTTTTTGTGTTGTAAAAGGTCGTAGGAATCTGAGACTAATTATGGAATATCTACCGTATGGAAGCTTACGAGATTATCTGCAGAAACACAAAGAGAGACTGGATCACAAGAAGCTTTTGTTGTATGCGTCTCAGATATGCAAGGTAAGGAACTTTCAGATGATTAATATTTCTAAACAAATTTTTGTCTTTTTTCCTTTTGTAGAGAAGTTGGTTGTTTCATGGTATCTTTTATAGTAGAGGTGGGCTTCTAGCACCAGTTGGCCTTAAACAAGGTAGCAGTACCTATTCATATACTCAAGAGCCTGATAAACTTCTGAGTATCTTGGGGAAGAATACTGAGACTGACTCAGGAAAAAAGTAATCCATTATTTTTGTTTAGTTTGTATTTAGTTTATAGTTCATTTAGTTTATATTTACAGTTAGAGGAATTAAAACCTCTTTTCTCCTGATGACAGGTTGAGTAGAATTTTGCAGGAGTTAATATATTCACCTAGACAAATTGTTCATCTATATTAACTGATTTTTCAAGACTTGGTCATTCAGTTGTAAAACTACAGTATATGCAAATGTTCAAGAAATTAACTTTAAAATGTAAGTGATATTAGCTGATTATTGTAGCAAAAAAGAGCAAAAGATGCTTATATCAGATTTGTGTGTGAAGAGCTAGAGGCGACTGCAGCGCCCAGAGTTGAAATAAACTATTTGCTAGCCCCACTGCTTGGCTCTAAACATCTGTCACGTAATTCTGAAAAGGGAAGCAGACATCTAATCTTTATTGTGGGTGGGATTGTGCCTCCCCTACCCTTGCCCTATTATTTCACTTAAGATAGGAGAAACTATGGACACTTTAGACTTTACTGTGTGTTTGGTAGTTCCCAAAAAAAGGAAGAAGGGAAAAGGAAAAATAAAAGTCCTAACAAGACATTTATTTGAAATATTTTTAAACTTCCTTTCCTTGATTCTGCACCAAAGAAGTTGAAACAGTAAGTTACTTACTGTTACTGAGTATTCTTCAGTAGCCCGCATCTAGTAAAGTTATGCCCTGCTACATTTGGAGCAGCAGATTTTCCTTCTGTGGTATCCATAGAAAAAGTCCTGACAAGAATCAGGTAGGAGACAGTGTGCTGAGTCCAGGATCTTTCCCAGGAAGTCTAAACTTGTATCTGATGAACAGAGCTTGATAGGTCGCTGCTCGAAACGGAAGTGACTCAGTAAACCTTTTAGCTACTGAACCTGGGGCATGCACAGGAGGAGGCTGCAGGCACCTTTAGCAGCTGATCTCACCTATTCATGTGGTTTACTGAAAGGCAGAAAGAAACAAGGAATTGCCAGACCATGTGGGAAGTCTCCAGCAAGGGCTCCTTGATGGGCAAGGCAACATTGCAACGGGCTTGGAAAAGACAAAACGTTCACCAGTCTGCAGCAAGTGTCGATCTCTTCGCAAAGGGGAAGGGTTGAACTCATGACCACCCACCAAAAGAGGGCTCAGAAAGCCCTCTGCTCCCTGGATCTGAAACAAGAAGTCATTTTCCTAGATCTCAAGTGTAAGAACGATAATGCTGCAAAATAACTGCTGTTACCAGTGCCAATAAGTGACTGAAAACAATATTCCTTCAAACAAGGAGCTGGAAGGGTCTAAAACCCAGTTCCACCTAGAAGGAAGATGGCAGTACATCTTTCATAGAATAAACATGAAACAGGGATTTGCAAAAAGGCAAAGGCTGTAGTTATTTATCTGTTTTGTTCTGTGATGGTCTCTGCCAACTTGTGACCCGAAGAGTCAGAAGACACCTACACCTACCTTGTTCGCTCTGGTAGGAGGCTCTGAAGTTTGAGTTTACTCTCGAGCTTTATTCAAAGCCTGAAGGAAAAGCAGTGGCAACATTTCTCAGGACCCTGGCTCTCTGAGTTGGAGTTGTCTGATGGGAGGATTAGAAGGTGGATTTTGGTCTTTTCAGGTGGTACAAGAAGGCAAAGAAACTTTGGGAAAGGAACTCGGGTCAGAGGTTACTAAGAAAAAGATTGTTACCTATATTAGAAGAAAAGCAAGCATCAAAATATTGCAGCTCTACAACGAGATGAAGAACTGCAATAGCAGGTGATGCGCTGCTTCTCAAGTTCCAAGCACCAACCAAAAGGAACGAGGCTAGAACGTGCCTTCTGCAAAGACTTAACTGGAAAAACTTTTTGCTTTCATGTGACAAAAGTGTGGATGTACACAAGAGTATGGGAATAGCCACAGATAGACCTTCCTCTTAAAGAAATACCTGTTCTTGACTTCCGAGGGAAACAAGGCCTAAGCACTATATTGTATGTGACTTGTTTTGCACTGCTATTGCTGTGCTATCTGCATAGCAAAGGTTAAATCGATCACTCTGATTTCATTCTCAGCTGCAGGGTTCTGTTGCTACCAAACAACTTAATTTTTCCTCACAGGCAATAATGCAGAATGCCACTGTGAATGAAATTTCAAAGGGCTAGTAGTCTTATGTTTATTTTGAAATCCTGTTTTAAGAAATAAAAAAACTTTTTGATGCTGACTGGTTCAGTTTGACAAAATGCATTCCATTTTATGATGATATAGAAAAAAAAAATGAGCCAGTACCTAATGGTGCAATCATAAAAAATGAAATCTGAACATTTTCCCTGTCTTTTACCTTACCCTTTTCTCCCCTTTCTTTTGTCTTTTTATACTTCTGTGATGCTTTCTCTTTCAGCATCTGAAATCTTTTTCTTTTTGCTTTATGTTTCTGTCATTGAGTTTAGTTTTTTAATCAAAAACCTTCCTCCCTCTGTCTCTTTTTTTGCCTCGAATCTGTGAGAAACAAGTCAAGGTGTACCTGCATCTGTGGGTTGAGACTCTGTTTCTTTACTCCCTTGCAGTGTTTTCAGTTCCTTGCTACTAAGCTGGAAAAGGGAGCCTGACTTAAAGATGACATTTTTCCTGCATATCTCATACTGTGAAAAGCAGCATTTTCAGGGACTGCATTTGCTAAGGGTGACATTTCTGTAGCTGCTGATTAGTGCAGCTGTCATCTGTGTGGGAGCAAGTAACAGGGCTCCATATACAGCTTTGCACAATCTTGGCAATAGAAGGACAGATAAGGAAGTGAAGTTTCTTCAGTGTGTCTTGATTTTTGGAGTATTCCTTTTTGTTCTTTTGGAAGCCTGTGTTTTCGTAATGGTGGCTGGGAGGAGAAGAGGTTGAGAGTAAACATAATTTTCCATCTCTTCATGCTTAAAGCACTTTAGGAGCTCTTGCCAGAAGAACCCTGGGGAGTATATGTGGGAACACCTGCGATTTGAGATAGCAGTAATGTAAAAGGAAAACTTTTTTTAAGGACAATTCCTAGCCGTTTTTTTTTTTCCACAGCTAGCATGAACATAGATGATGGAAATCTTTGCAGTCACATCGTTAAACACAACTGCATTATTAGAGTAATGCCACGGGATATGATTTCCTCACAGAAAATTTGCATGTTTTCAATTAAATGTCTCTAAGAGCCTGTAAAATACTGATTGTACCAAAAAAACACTTGTGAAATTACCATTCATTGAAGAAACTTGGAGTGTTTTCAGTACAATTTAGTAGTAGTAAAAAGGTACAGCATTTACATTGACTGATTGTCTGAAACCAGGGAGCCTAGCTTTGAAAAGCCTAGGTCGGATGTTTTTCAGGATAGTCATGGGAAACTAAGCCGGTAGTAAAGAACAGGACATTTTTGAACTTCTGTTAAACCTCTGGTATGGAATGGGATGTTGCGAGTAAGCAACGATGCCACCTAGTGGTGCTAGTAGGAACAATCTGAGAAGAAGGTTGGACTCTTGAGTCATACTGTTTTTAAGTTTCTCACTTAAAAAGGAAAAGAAAAACCTTTTGGAATTAACAAGTACGCTGTTGGTGTCCAAAACTTTTAATGGAGTTCGGCAAAGCTAGAGCATTACTTACTGCTCTTCAGTTGTGTTAGGATGAGATTTTTCTTTAATGAAATGGTGAAACTGAGAGCCTGCATTGTTTCCTTTAATATGTGAGAATCAGAGACCTCGGAACACTGTGCAGTGTCAGCTTCTCTCCATTTATTACTACATAAGCAGTACTTTCTTTTCTGTAATGCTGTACTACCTTAGTTTTGTTCTCACTACGCACCTTGGCCTACTCCACATTTCACTGATAGCAAAAGGAATAATGCGTACATCTATGGATGATGTGGCTTCAGATCCACGTTTCCACAGGTTGCTGTAACACAAACAGTAAGCAGAATTGTTAGCAAATAATGGTCAGTATAGAGGGGAAGGAAGGCACAATGGTGGGAGTCAGATCAGACGGAGTAGTTATGGGATTCAAGGAGTCATAAAGTAAAGTTTGATAAAGCACTCAGATGGGAGATGTGGGAAATTAAGGAAGAAGTAGTAAAATGAGTAGTCAATAGGATGGGCTTCATCTGCACTGTACTATGTGAGTAGCTTAGCCCAGCTTTTGCTTTCCCTCTGCCTACCGCTGCATTTGGCTATAGAAAGGAAGCTATAACATTTACCCATCTGTATAATCAAAAAATGCTGTTAATTCTGAGAGGTGCTCCGTCTAGCTAATTTCAGTTGAGGAAAGGCCCTGCACCTGGAAAAAATAAGAACAGCTTCTCAGAGAAGGCTAACCTTCAAGCCCAGCAGTTGTGGCAACCGTTTGTGTTTGAATTTAACTTTGAGATTCATTCACCACTTCAGGGAAAGTGTGGCCTCTTAATGGTAAGAAGAACTTGTTTTCTATTGTGTTTGTGATCTTTATGCTTTAGGGCATGGAGTATCTGGGCACAAAAAGATACGTTCACCGGGATTTAGCAACCAGAAATATCTTAGTGGAGAATGAGAACAGAGTTAAAATTGGAGATTTTGGTTTGACAAAAGTCTTGCCACAAGACAAGGAATACTATAAAGTGAAAGAGCCTGGAGAAAGCCCTATATTTTGGTAAGTCGTCTTTCGGCATATGAAAGCATGGCATGTTTTCAGTTTTGCAATTTCCGCCTGTAGTTTTGCATATTGTGGAATTCCGAAGTGCAAACTCAGTCAGTTGCTCAGCGTTGTGAAAGTCACATGCACAATGTTTGACTTTACAAAACAGTATATAAACGTGGACCTTTTCAACTTACACACACACACACACACACACACACACACACACACACACACACACACACACACACACAAAAAAAAAAACTCCTAAAAATTACCTAAATAGCTATTTAAAAGAAGTAGTCTGCCACAGGAAAGATACTCAGAGACAAGAGAAACTTAAAAGAGCCTGTTGTCCAAGACCCTTTCAAAGTTTTAGATCATTCAGGCCCCTGAAAACAGGTTGTTTTTATCTGCTAGCCTCTATGTTGATTAGATCCTCTGCTGACTAAGTGAAGTTAAATCCCACAGACTATAGTTAGCAAGGAGGAACTGCTAGGCTGAACATTCAGGTAAGTGTCCAGAGAAGGTCTAAGTTGCTCCAAAATACAGTAATGCTCCAACAGGCCCTCCTTACCTGGGAAAGGAAAAAACGCTCCGTGTAGTTGACAGACTGAAGGTTTATGAAATGGAAGTTGGTGGACAGCATTCAGAACATACAGTGTATACCTCTATACCGTCTATTCATAATTAAGAGCTAGGAAAGTACTTCAGGAATGTTCCTTAGGAAATCTTCTGATTTCCTCTATCTTGATAAGAAAATGCAACTCTTTACACGCCATTTTAGATCATATAGCTGCCTTAGGTCCTCTAAAATGTGACATTTAAAAGACAAAATAAAATAAAGCAAATTTAAAAACTTAAGCCCAGAAATATATGGGACGTAATTCCGGACTTGTTGAAGGCGATGGGAGAGATTCTTGCTGGCTAGACTGTCTCTTTCAAGGCCTTGTCGCATCAAAGTCTGGTTTACTCATATTGCAGATAGGATGAATATCTATAACTCTATTAAAACACTTGGATATAGTTATGACTGACTGTATTTACAGAAGCTGATTTGTGTTTTCAGTCTCATTTAACTAATTTGAAAGTATAGTTACTAGTGAAGGTGAAAGAAATGAGACCGTGCTAATGCTTATGAACAAAGAAAGTTTATTCATGATAACATTTCTTCCTTATTAAAAGAAATATCTTCAAAAACAAAAAAGACACCAGTCACCACAGAACAGTATTCCTTTTACCGTGTGTTGCAGGTATGCTCCAGAATCTCTGACAGAGAGCAAATTTTCTGTGGCCTCAGATGTGTGGAGTTTTGGGGTGGTCCTATATGAACTCTTCACTTACATTGAAAAGAGTAAAAGCCCACCAGCAGTAAGTATATAAATCAATCGTTCGCAGAATCTCTTTTTTGAATTTTTCAAAATATATGGATTGTACCTATCCCTAGATAGGTAGATATTTACTATTCTTTTTCTGGAGAGGTCTTGGTATTTGTGAAGCAGCATTCAGTTAGAAGAAGCAACATGCTGAAAAGCATTAGCATCAAGTTATAAGAAGCAAAGGAGATCTGGAAAATTATCTGCTAGCCTATGCAGATCCTATTCGTGCTATAACTCTGTGAAACAGTTTTGCAAATCTTATTTTTGAATCTTAATCAATCTTCATTACTGAAATTCAGGAAAGAAAGTAGCTTTTTGTCGATGGTTGATAGGTACCTTTTAAAGAGAAATTTACACTGGACAGAGAAAGAGACTTCTACATGCACAGACTCACAGTCCTACTTAGAGCTAATACGTAGCATTTCTCAACAGGTGTAACAGAGGACAGTTGACCCTTACAAAGTTACTGGAGATGTCAGCTTAGCCTTGGCCACTGTCTAAGCTCTGGCAAGTGTAATTTTGAGAGCTAAATAGGGATGATAGGCAAAAATGCACTTGGAAAATCGCTGCATTGACCTCTGTTGACCTTTTAGTATTCTGATACAACTCTGAAGAGCTCAAGGAAGTGCTCTCGAGTTAAGAGCAGCTCTCCCTGCACAATAACATAACCATTGCAAACATCTGGAGTTTTTCTTCTAGAATTATAAATTGAGAAGCAGTAGGGTGAGTCATTGCTTTAGATGGTATGTACTTTGAATAAATCAGTCAGCTAGGTTATCATGCTGTTATGTGTCAAGAAAAGTCCATTTTGCTAATAAGCTAAATAAGTCCTTTTAACTGTCGTCGTCTTTATAATAATTCATTATTTCTGACTTTGGCCATTTACATATTCTACCAACAGTTATTTTACATTTTCACATCAAACGTTGTTACAGAAATTTATATAGCATTAGAGGGAAAATAAATCCTTGTACATTATGCTTAGAAGTAATTTTCAGTTAGTAACACTGCCTTATTTACTTCTCATCTCTGGCGATCCAAGTCAAATTTCTATCTACTTTCTGCGTTATGATGATTTTGGACTCCAAGGCTTATCTCAGCCTGGCTGAGACAAATTGCTGGCTGTAATTATGCTGCCATTTCTGGCCTGAAATTACTGGTTTAGAAAATCCTGTTTATCTTTTTTTATAAATCAATATGACGTTAGCTGTGTTCTGTTTGACTAGGATTTTTCAAAGCGTCAAGTTTTTTTTAAAAATATTTCAGAGAGCTTTTTAGAATTAGCTCTCAAGTTTCACCTTTTAAAAATAATTAACCATCAGATGATGCTCAACATTCTTAGAAAGTTTTAAGTTAAATTTCAAATTTGCAACTTTAAATTGCAAATATATCATCCCATTTTCTTCCAAACCAAAAAAGTTATGGCAGGTAGGTAATTATTGATATTCTGGACTTGTTTCTGGACTTGATATTCTGGACTTGTCATTGTTATTATTTACAACCTTATCATTGTCATCCACTATTTGATTTATAGAATTTCTAAGGTATTATTTATTCTTATAAAGAATTTTTACTTAGTGATAATTTTGCAACTTTTGTTTAAAAGTTATTTATGACAGTTGATTCTATATTTTAGGAATTCATGCGCATGATTGGCAATGATAAACAAGGGCAGATGATTGTATTTCATTTGATTGAGCTTTTGAAGAACAATGGACGACTGCCAAGACCAGATGGATGTCCTGATGAGGTGAAGTACTATAGTATAATAGTATACGTTACCAAAGTCTGAAAGGTGTTCAGTCAGAGTGAATTGATGGTAAATGCAAACCTGTGTAAATCCTGCATGCATTACTGCACTATTTATACAGCCTGATTAGTTGTGCTATTGTTTTAACAGATGCATGATGAGTATAACCATATTCGTTTTCTGAATATTCAGATTACATTCCCTCAGGACCCCAAAGTATAATCTTTCTACGTATATGAAGTAGGGTTATTGTGATCTGTAGGTGTGCACTCAGATTTCCATTTCAAAAATGTAAGTTTATTAAGGCAATGATGGGATTAGCATACATAATTTGTCTCATAGAAGTCCCATATGAAGATTTTTGTTTAAAATTTTGAACTGTGCATTGTTTTTTTTAAACCTGTAACTTTTAGCAGTACAACCTTAATATTTACTTAACATTTTTCACATTTAAATTCCAAGATTTAAATAACTCTTTATCCTAGTCAGTTATTTTCCTACACTTGCTCTTCCCCATAATACCCACGTTATTTTTATA